CTTAGGTCTTGGACTTTCTTCCGCAATATCTTGCTGCAGGTATTGTTTTGATAGAAAAAAAAAGAAGACGCCAAATTCAGCAACAACAAAGTAATTATTTGTTGTTTCAGAAATTTCATCATCAAAATGAAGATAATGAGCGACTGCATTTGGTGGTTTCATCTCAACTTACCACTCTCCTCACATAATTTGCTGGAAACAATCCTACTTCTCCATTTGCTCTCTCTCCGATCCACCAATTACTTTCATGAGTCTCAATGACCTTCACCTTTTCATATTGAGTAAGGGTTAAATGTTGCTTATCGGACGGAAAGAAGTTGTACAACACCTCAACCACAAATTTTGGTGTTCTTCCTGCAAAGCTTGATGCATCGTTGGGATTTATCATCATTATCTCGTTTGCGTTGTGGTTCCTTCTTCTTCCGAGAGAGAGAAAATAATTATATTTCAGATGCCCTTGAGCTTGACTCGAGATATTTGTTTTTTGTTGGGAACTCTTAATCAAGGATTCCCGCCACTCCTGTTCGTTACTCGAATTTGTAAGAAGAAAATGGAGGGAAGGGTTGTTCCACATCAACATCGCGTTGCATCATCAGGACTTTGGTGATGGGTGTTGTTGGTTCTTCATAACGATAACACATTATTCGGAATGATGAGAGATACCGCAGTAGAGAAATGCCTCTGATCAACTTTGTATGGTTGTATTAATTTAATCATGCCAATACATGGAGTTTCAATGTTTAAATATCAATATACCGATAATAATCATTCAGAGTGATCGGCTGATGATAATTTATTTTAACGAGATAATTTTTGTAATCCTATTGCTGATGATAGCTGCATATCATCGGATTTTAGAAATCATACAAATCTAATCCAACATTTGATATTTAAATTCTTCAAAATTGATGAGTCCATCTTCATCCCAATCGGCTTGTTTGATCATTTCCTCAATGTCTTCATTACTCATAATTTCATCCATACTTTTCATCAAATCTTTCAATTCATTCTTATCCAATCTTCCATCGTGATTGGAATCGAATTTATCAAAAAGAGTTTTCAGTGTTTGAATTTCTTCACTTGAGGCTCGTTGCTCTTTCTGTTGTAGCTCTCTTCTCTTTTGTTCTTGTGACATTTTTTGTTTTTGTTGAAATGTCAACGTTTTTTGGGGTTGTGTCTATCAATATTTATCATCCGACCCAAACAATTTGGATATTCGCTCCATTTCTCATGATGTCAAAGTGTTTGATGAACACTCCAATGGGTGTTGGTTTATTTGTTGTCAACAAATGACACACAACGTTTCTGAATAATGTGTCATATGCAATTATTATTAATACAATACAAGAGAGATAGGTTCCACCAGGAAAAGATGCTCTAAAACTTTTCCATCTGTTTGACAAACTAGATCATTTGATTACACAAAAAGAAATGCTTGCCAATGTCTCATATAATAATTGCATTTAATACCTACCTCCTCAAAGTCAATTCTACCATCTCCATCCATATCGGCATCTGTTGAAAAAGATCAGTAACGAATGGTGGTGACATTATGAGCTCGGAATGATGATTTCGAAATAAATTCAGTCCAAAATACGTACCTTTCATCATTTGATCGACATCATTTTCTGTGATCTTTCCATCAGTGAGTTCTTTCATGACAGTGAATAATTCAAGCCGATCGATCGTTCCACTTTTATCTGAATCAATCTTTTCAAACATATTTCTGTAAATATTAATATCTTGTTCCGACAGTTTTTTGGACTTGCCAAATTAATTGTTATCAAAAAACACAAAGTTTGTGATGATCATCGTGTCACTCAACAACATTTGACATTCAGAGTTGCATATTTACCATTTCTTGTTGATTTTTTGAAAAAATAAAAAAAATTTCTAAAATGAACGACAAGTCCATGTATGCAAGGTAGGTGTCACATCGGATTCCTTCTCGAATCGAGACAGATGCCAACCATCAAACAATGACAGAAAATTTTCTGTAATATTTCTGTGTGTCATAGCTTTTGTCACTTCATTCTTGATGATTGCCAATTATCGGTCAACCATGACACGAAATGTTGATTTACTCAATAATTTCCCGTCTTCAATTCCTTGTGATAATGATGACGATGAAAATAATTCAATCTTGAAGAAGAGAAAAAATAGAATTGCTGTGCTATGGACTGGAGATATACGATGGTTTGGTGGAGGTATGTTTGCAATCACCGTACAATTTACTCTCAATATTGAGAAACAATCGGAATTGTTCCATAATTTCTTTCGGAAAATGTCTTTGATTGATGTTCAACACCACAACCCATGTGTGCCACTGAAGCATTTAATTTCATGAGAAATTGGTTTCTTGCACACAACGAATTTCCAGATTTATTTATTAACATGTTCTATAGGCATCATGGAGAAAAAGATTATTTTGAACAAATTCAACCTTTCCTAAAACACCTCGTCAAGGCCAACCTTGAAAAATATGACCAAGAGGAAATCATGAAACGACTGGAACATCAATATCCGAATTTTTCTGTGTTTTTAGAGGAATGCAAGAAATACGCCTCACACGATTCTTGCAGTCATTGGTTTTATTCCAGGTCGCAAATTAGAGAGGCTTTTTCGTATATGGAACAACATGATTCTAAAATGGTTGCCAAAAACAACTTGACAACAACCTCCTATTATGACATTGTATTTCGATTAAGCCCTGAAGTCATGCTTGAAACACGAATTGACTTGGTCAATTTCACAATGGATCCTAACACTTTTTATACCTCACAACTGTACTCTGGAGAAGGAGTCAATGATGAGATTGGTTTTGGATCTATAAAAGTCATGAGGACATACTCCTCACTCTTGCTGAAGGCAGAAAAGTTGGCAAGTATTACCTTGGGATTTCATCCGCAACTTTATTTAAGTAAGTATATGGCATTGCAAATGAAGGAATGCATTCATTCCAAATATTTTTGTTACAGAGAACCATTTGTTGGAGAAGCGTGATGTGAAACTTCTTCCAATTGGATACAGACGTCTTAGAGGTCTTGAATTTGCACACCACGGATCTGAGATTAGAGAACCTTTTGATGACCTAATAGTGATGAACGACATTGGTCAACCACAGCCTTCTACAAACTAGTGATTGTGAATTGAAAGTGCCTTCTTCGCTAAAAGTACGCAATGATTAATTTATTAGTCACAATTTTTGAGCTGAGCTATATATTTGAAATTTAATTCACTTCTATTCTTTCATTTGGAAATTTGGATCCAACAACTTGAGTTTGTCTCTAAGTTCCTTGAGCTCTTCATTCTTATTCTTTACAATGGTCATCATGTTTTGGAATTGGGAAGTTTGATTGACTTTGAGGGTGAGCTCATTTTGGGCAGTGACAAGATCCTTTTTGATGGCCTCCTTTTCATGTTCTAATTGTAATACTTTTTGTTCATTTTGAGTGGCTTTCAGTTGTGTTTTTTCAAGTTCTTCATTTTGAGATTTGATAATAGAATTTAAGTGGGCAACCTTATTTCTTAACTCTTCAAGCTCCTTCTCGTCATTTGGATCATGAGCGCCTTGTAACTTGTTTTTCAACTTTTTGAGCTCGTCACTGACAGCGTTGTATTGATTTGTAATTTCTGTCTTCTCTTGCATCATTTCCTTGTATGACTTTTGAAGAGTTGTCAATTGCTCTCTCATGGAATCATTTTCTTTTTTCAATTTGAGAATATCTTCTGAATTTGTTTTGAGCGATGGAAGTTTGTTTCCTCCCACACTCTTTGGAAACATGTTATTTTCCATTTTGGCAATTTCTTGTAAAGTTTCTCTGTGAATCCGAGGTTCATGCAAATGTTGATTACATACAACAGCAATCAAGGAATAGATTGGAGTTGGAAAAAAGAGCATACTCAGCAAGTACTTACTCATTCTCAATACTTGAAATATCCACCTTCAATTTGAAACCAGCCTCATCGGCTTCCTTAAAAACTTGTCTCAATAATTCCAGAGAGGTATGATTGGAGTATTGAGTCTCGGACTTGATTGTTGACTTGAGAACAGTCTCCAAAGCATCAATAATGTTCTTCACTTCCAACAAACTGTATTGATTATCGAGTAATCGACTGTCCTTTACTTCCTGAATGACCTTGGACACCTCTCTCAAGTGCAGCTCGGTTTTATGATGGGTAAATTTGAGGTAACTTTCCACGACATGTTTATAATGATCGGAAAGACCCTGTAATAACACTTCTTCGACGTTGGATGCCATGGATGGATTTGATTGCATTTTGTATATTGATAAATGATAATTGATGATAGAGTTTCTCAGCAAGGCTCGGGTTTATGAATTGCAGCAGAAGCTCAAATGATGAATCTCTGTTTATAAAAGGCGGGAAGAGACGAGCGCTGTTGTTTTTTTTTCTTGCAATCGGCGCACCAGAGAGAGCTTTGATTCGATGTGATGATGAGTCGGAAGGAACACAAGGCAATGATCACGCGTATACAACAACATTGATAAAGGAAAAGAGGAACTTGCTTTCAACTTTAAGCAATCACCATGATCTAAATTGTAAATCGCAGTGGCGGGATCGATCCCAGACCCCCAAAAAAATTTCTTAAATGACCGAACAACGATCCGCGAGTTCCTTATCAAAAACCTCGACCACCACGAGTAAGAGCACTCATTCAAAAGTATCAACCTCCAATCCTAATGTTGCTGCCACCTCAACATTAACTTCGAGGCCAAACTCGAGAAATAATGAAACCGAGCACGGGCATCGGGAAGAGAAAAAAGACAGAAGGGGAGCAAGTCATTTCTGAAGAGAAGAATCATCATGCTGAT